GAACGATGAATAAGTTTAAAAAAGAGAAAACTTGGATCAGGATGTCACAACAGATAAAAGGGATCATCATTTCAACTTAGAGCTCAAAAGATCAACTACATTCAAGATCAACTAAATTCATCAGATGTTCGGCTCGTGAGAGAGGCGTTTCAACTATAACACGCCTAAGAACAGTGGGAAAGACGTAAAAATGAAATCGTACGCGAAACCTGTGAGCTCCTTGTTACTCCAGGACAGAAAGTTAGAAGGTTAGAGAGGACGAAGATAATCTTGAATAAGTTGGAAAAAGATCCTGGAATAATATATATATATATTTCAACTCTATTTCAATCCTTCATGAGCTTCTAATCTTAAGTTATGATTAATTAATAATGAACATGTCATTTTCTTTTTCATCACGATTCTTCTGTTAAGCTTACAGAGTAATTATGCATTCTTATTGCTCAAAGTAGAGTCCAATAGTGTTATACAAACCTCGGAGAATTCCAGTAAGATATCTTTAATCATTTCTAAGATACAACGGTTCAGATTTTAATCTGACAGTTCGACAATTTTGCTGTTACACAATTTGGACTGTTTTGCTCTTCCACCGTATATATATATATATATATATATATATATATATATATATATATATATATATATATATATAGTTGTATATTTAGGCAGCAATCATTCCTTTATGCATGTTTCATTAAAAACGACAGACAAAGTACTACGGTTGAGCTTTTTATTTAATTTTTCCATGTGTTCGTACAAGTGCTTTCTTTTCTGGACAAGAGGTGTGTAAGAACTGTCCAAATGTTTTATATTTCCGAGCGCTTTCGGCTCTACCTTTAGCCATTATCAAGGATGATTCGATTTTTCAGCTTAATTGAGTGTGTGCGTTCTGTGTATGTATTAGTGTGTGGTTGGGATGTTTTTAATTTCCGAATACGGTTAGCACATTGTGGCCTTGTTCGTAGTTAATATTGTTAAGAGTTGGCTTTTTCTTTTTTATTATTAAAGCTTCCATTATGTTTCGTCTTTTTTTGCAAGTGGGTGCAGTTAATATATTTGTGTTTTCTACTAGTATGTTCCTAATGGAGTCTGGTGTGTGTGTGTGTGTTTAAATGGGTTCTAATGGAGCTGTCATCAGATAGGTGTAACGTAAGTCGTCTGGATAAGTATGTGGTTGTGTAGCCGAAAGCGCTCGGAAATATAAAACATTCGGACAGTTCTTACACACCCTTTGTCCAGAAAAGAAAGCTCTTGTCAGAACACAAGAAAAATTAAATAAAAAGCTCAACCGTAGTACCTTGTCTGTCGTTTTTAATGAAACATGCATATATATATATATATATATATATATATATGTATATATATATATATATATATATATATATATATATATATATATGTGTGTGTGTGTGTGTCTGTGTCTGTGTGTGTGTGTGTGTGTGTATATATATATATATTCAGTGCAAAGCTTGTATTTTATATCATAAAGACACAATTTATACAAATAATTAAATATCAATCTTAATTTCACCATTAATTATATAATCATTGTTATGCTTTGCATAAATTGTTTTTTATGTTATATATATATATATATGCTGGTGTTAATAAAATATTGCTAGGTGTATAATATATGCACTCCGCTATCATTGCGTCAACCAGATAATTTAATCAAAATTTGACTTATGTAACAGTCAGTCGCTATTCATTGCGTTGTGCATTAAACTCCGATTCGTGTTCCCGTTGAGGAATAATATATATATATATACACACACACACACATATATATATATATATATATATATATATATATATATATATATATATATATATCCTATGCCATCATATATAAATGCTTACTCTTTTTGTTGAACAAGACTGAATTGACACGATAATTTCTTTAGATTTTTCTCTAAACAAGTTGTCATTATTTCACGACTGTATGTAAATATTGTCCAATGTATTATTGGTTCCTTGCGTTTAAATTAAACTGTTCGCATTTTTAAAGAATTATTTATTTATTTGTTATACTAATATCATGTACGTTGTATTAATGTTCTAGGTCGAATAAAATTGCTGAAATGATACGTATAGTTAATTTCTAAATATGTCCAGAACATTACCGGTACGTGGATCCATTCGTACCAGACCGCACTATCATCTAATGTAGCGGTCCCCAACCACCGAGTCGCGGACCAGTACTGGGTTGTAAAACATTTGTTACCGGCACGGGGAACCATTAGGTACAGGGCCGTGGACCATTTCGTAACGGACAGTGAGCCATTTCGTACCAAGCCGCAAAGAAAGAATAAAAACTTTTCTTTACATTTTATTCATTATCACGGTCTGATTTATAGTCTTTTGTTATGCGCGTGACCAAAACCGACCGCCCCCACAATTTTTACTTGACACCGGGTCCTTGACGAACAATGAAATTTGGAACCGTTGATCTAGTGAACGATTGCTCTTAATGTAGTGGACTGCATGCAGTGCTCTATTGTTCTTTTAAACTATTTATTAATGTGCAAATTATGCAGTAAGCTATTTACAAATATCAACCAATTACTTAAAATTATAAAGAAAATAAATAAAAGATTCAATTATTGCATTCTGTCCTTACTTTTTATATCTGCTATTAATAATATGTACAGTACATGTTCATTGTAATTAGGAAGAAATACATTTTTTTTTTTTTTTTTTTTTAACAAAAACTTTAATTTTACTCTTCTTTCCATATGTATTTTTTTTTAAGTTTTCTTTATTCGTTATGAAAATTAAATGATAGCATTGTAGTTGCGGGTGGACACGTTGTGTTTCCTGCCAACCAATATTTGTAGAACCATTCCACCACTGTTATTATTGTTTATTTTTAAAACACTTTTATTTGACTGTCGATAATGTATTTCGAAAAGTTGTCTTAAACTAGTGTTTTTTTTTTTGTTTTGTTTTTTTGTTACTAAGTTCTGTATTGAATAGCTTGCCAGTGGATGAGACCACGAGTCGCTCCCATTAGGAAGTTTTCCATTACCGCTAATTTTGATCTAAATGAACATTCACTGTTATAATTAAGATGGCAGGAATTTTTGTTGCGTTTTTTTTTTATAGTTAAGTGATGACTGTATAGTTATTGGATTCTACAGAAACTTCTCGGCATTATTAATGGGGGTGGTTACTAGATCGTAAGTACATTTTAAAACATTTTTGTTTCAAATGTATTTTTACCTCCAATTTCGTTTTTGTTGTTAGCTAAAGAATATCGTCTGCATCTCTCCCTTTATGTTCTGTGTACCTTCAGGATGTCATGGCACTCCACAGTTTCCCGTCCCATACTATAGATAAATTGTGGGGTTTAATGTTTTTTTGAAGTCTTTGTTTTTTCAATATGAGATATATATAATAATTGGTGAAGATTGGTCAAAACGGGCTACTCACACTAACTCACTTATTTTTTTTTAATACGTATATTACCATCGTGAACGTTAATTATATTTCGGCAGCAAGAATTCTCACTGAAACAAATATTGTTACATTCAACCGACAATGTGTGCTATTTTAATTTTTATTTGCATATTTCCAATTTCCAAATAAACTGTTGAACATCAGGTTCAAAACTGGGTATAATCCGCCCAAAATTCATGTTTTGTTTTATTTCTGTGCAATTACTTTCGACCATCTCTGTCATTGTCTGGGTATGGTAGATACTGTTGGTTATATGTAGGCATATTTTGGGAACGCTGGAACTCGAATTAATCCAAATGACATATGTCGTTTCAATGCGCTAACCATTGTTGCCAATTCATAGTGTTATGGGGTCCTCCCCTTTTTCATATGTGGACTCTACAGAGTGTTACTTGGACTGCTGCCGTTAAATACCCAGAGTTAGACAGTCAGTGAGGGTAGTCGGAAAGAGAGAGAGAATATACGAACGGAGATAGTGTGAGGTAACCTCTTGTAGAAGTCAGTTACAAGCACGTAGACTCTAAGGAAGTCCTACTTCGAGACTGTATATATCTATCTGTATTTGCTACTAACCGTGTTCCTGGATTTACTAACAGTACTATCCTTTGTATGATTGTGTAAATACATTTTATTTCTTATATTTAATTATTGCGTTTGTTCTTCATTGGAGACCGAATTCATCTCGGAATCCACAACACATAGCTCACATCTTGACCCGTCCCTCTGACTGATAACCCTACCTTCTGACAATAGTCCTTTCATCTTGCCACATACATTATTATTGTTAAGATTATGTCTGCCGGAATATTAATGGGTTTTCTAGTTATCATTCTGTGAGATAAATGGAAAAGTACTGCATAATCTTATGGAAAAATACCGGTTAGTTAGTCTGATTAAAAAATACTGAGCAGTTTAACAGAAAAGTGCTGATTTGTCTGATGGAAAACACTAGGTAGTCTCATTTAGCTACATCAAACTACCTTATACTTTTAGATCAGACTATCCAGAATTAGAGGGAAAATATTAGGTTGGTACAAAAATAATGACGTAATAATGTCGTTTTTTGACGTATTCTTTAAGGTCAAAAAACGACATTCTTACGTCATTATTTTTGCACCAACCTAATATATTTTTACGAGTGCGCTTATTTTTTTTTTTTTTAATTTACTTTTTTTTACTTTCAACGTAAAGCTTTACTAGTAAGGATTATACATATACAAATAAAAAAAAATGGTTTTAAAAATTCTTTTAAAAAATACGCGAGATTTCGACTTCACGTGATATCAGAGTTGGCGGACACATTACAAATTATTTAAAGACAACATGTCTTAGAAATTATTTAAATATTTCAGCGTATTTTATTTAATTTGCCTTTCCAATGCATATTTGGCGATTCCATGATGAAATGGTTGTGGAATGGTTGTCTCTATCCACGATCCCCGCTATATTCTCCAAAGCATCTCGGCTTTCTTTCTTTCGTGCTCAGAGTTCATAGAATTGCAACGGTATCATGGCGAACAAAGGTCGCTTGAAAATGAAGGATGTTATATTTAAGTGATGCTCTTCGTTGTTATTATCTATCTCTCTGGCTAGCGGTCTATCTATCAAAACATGTCTATTGTATCTGTTCATATCTTCATCTATCTATCTATCGCTCTATCTATTTGAATATGTATATTGTATCAATCTCAATCCGTTCATATATATCAATCTTTCGTTTGTGTATCTATCTATCTATCTATCTATCTATCTATCTATCTATCGTAATCTGTTCGAATCTACCTATTTGAATCAGTTCGTAACTCTCTTTCTATCTCAGTTGGTTTATATCTACCTATCTTTCACAGTCTGTACATATCTCTTTCTCTGTCTCTCTCTATATATATATATATATATATATATATATATATATATATATATATATATATATATATATATATATATATATATATTATTTATAAATAATATATATATATATTATTTATTCATAAATTATAACATAACTACAAAAATAGCCATTTTGTTTCAACATTTTCTGGTGTCTTATCAAGTAATGGTATTCAATGTAAAATATTATAACATATTTATGTTAGAATCTTTTGAATAAATAATATTTGCTCTACTCTGTATTGAGCACTCTTTTAAGAATAGTATTTTTGGTTATTGGAATTTATTCCGTCTACACCCTCCTACACTTGGGTATATATATATATATATATATATATATATATATATATATATATATATATATATATATATATATATATATTTATATATATATATATATATATATATATATATATATATATATATATATATTAAAAATTAAGCAGTAAATTGACCTTTTTTACCGAACGCTCCTTTGTCGCCGAGTCGGTTAAGGCACGTCAGCGTAAATGACGGTTCAGTATAGGATGCAGGTTCGAATCCTGTCAAAGGACGAATTTTTTCTATGAAAATTTCTCGGACATTCAGGCCAGTAAATGTTATTTAATATTGTTTATTATAAACAGAGCATTTACTTAAATACTTGTATCTATAAAAAAGAACGTTGAACATAAAAATGTCTTCAAAAAAAAATATATATATATATATATATTGTTTCCTATTCATCTATCTCTTAATTTCTTCGTATCCATCTATCTGTATATCTATTTCTGTCGTTTTCTTCTATCTATCAACCTACCTTTGTTGTTTCCTATCTAGAGTGAGACAGAGAGTGAGAGAGAGATTTCTACAGAACAGTATTATTACATTATTTTTTAATGGATACCAGTGTTTGAACCAGATGACCTTTCTTTAAACAGTGAGTGGGTGTTACGTCTACCGTCTTGTGTGCTAATGAAAATTTAATAAGTAAAATCCTCTCTCTCACCTTCTCTCTCTCTCTCTCTCTCTCTCTCTCTGTTTCTCTCTCTAAAAAAACCACGGTCATCCACTAAAAATAACGTTTGTAGTAACACGCACAGACACACACACAAACAGATAGACAGACAGACACACATACATACATACATGTATATACTCTATAAAACGTATACATATATTCATACAATGTGATTTATATTTCTCTAAATTCACTTATATTCATACATAATTATACAGGTAAAATGCATGGATATAAGTACATACAAAAATATATAGATAGAAAAATTCATTATTCCTACTTTCTTCAAAATTTGTAAATTAATTAGTAATCCCTAATCTAAAGATCTTTACCCCCACATCTAAAACAATCAGAGATATAATTAAATAGGAAGTAAAATAAAATAAATCCAACACCGTTTCAGATGCCGATGCTTATCAAATAAATCGCATTGTAAAATAACTTATGTCGGTGAGACATCATGAGATCTAAAATCCAGTATCTAAGAACACAGAATATATTTACGTTTAGACGATCATTCATACTCTTTCATAATATGCGCGAACAAACCTGGCCATAAGATTGATTTTACAAATGTCACCCTAAATAAAACAGAACCTAATTTTATACGTTGAAATTATTTCGAGTGCTAAGTAATAACAATATTACCAACTATAAACACACGTCAAAAGTATTATATTATATCACCAACCTTTATCGAATCCATTCTTAAAGAATTGCACGTATGTTTATCTAAAGCAAACGGTAGGTACGTAAAAATGTTCCCAAACCAACATGCGTAAAACTAACAAACGTAATGTGTACTAGACACGCACACGCACATACACTGACGAGCGCGCGCGCGCACACACACACACACACACACTTACAGTTATACATTATCATCTGAATCCCACATAGACAATCAAGAAGTATCATATACTTACACACATAAAGCAATATTTGCGTTTTCTCGATTAGACTCAAAATAACTGTCGGACTTTGTCCGTTTCATATTGTGTGACGTCATTTGTTTACATTTGGATACGCATCGAGCAGATATGAATGTACGAGAGAAAATCATGGAGAATTGTAGTTTAAAAACAGTAAGATCGACCTTGCTGACCGAAACACTCGTCTGTGGCTAAATTGGTAAAGCACGTCAGGCTATATGACGGTTCCGTATAGGATACAGGTTCGATTCCTGTCGGAGGACACATTTTCGATGAAAATTTCTCTGACATTCAGGCCGGTAAATGTTGTTAATACCTTTTTTATAAACAGAGCATTTACTTAAATACTTGTATATATATATAAAAAGAATGTACAAACATATAAATGTCTTATATATATATATATATATATATATATATATATATATATATGTAACTTCATATAGCAAGTATTAATGTAGACGCTTCTAAAACACGGTGAAAAATGTAAAATAAAAAAGAATATCTACAGGACGATATACAAAAGTATTATATATAAAATGACGTATGTTTCGCTGTTCTCCAGCGGTGTAAAGTTTCATGAGCACGTGATGTTTTCTTTTCTGTGGCTGGTTGCACAGTCATCAGCATCAGGCGGTTGAAAATGACAAGAAACTCAATTCTGAATATAATATACTTTTAACTGAATGTGTGAGTTTGTTTTTTTTTTATGTGTATTTGTCTAAAGTTATAGGAATTATTTTATTATTTTCCGAACACGGTGAGCACATTGTGACCGTGTTCATTGTTAATGTTATTGAGTGTTCTCTTTTCCGTTTTATTATTACGCCAAGCAGAGGATAGCAGGAGAAGTCAGGTACTTACTGGAGCGGTACATAGAACCGACAATTTTTTCCAGCATCTTTAGTGATGGATCGCATATACGATTCCCACTTAATTCCCAACAGTCGCTCTCCTTAAAGATAACACGATCGTTCGCTATAGGCGGAAATTCAGGGTCCTCTCAGAATATAACTGATCTAGTTGAAGTGGTCTCGCTGAATGGCAATGACAAGAGAAGAAGCTGACAGTGTATATATTTTCATCAAAGCAAACTCACATAAACAATTAATCATTCCAAGACTCTGAGGTTTACAAGAAGTTTCACAATATAAAAACAATATAACCTCAAACGAATTTGGCTGACAAGATATCTTCTTTTCGATATCTTCAACTTAATCATTTTCACTGTTACTGAGTACCTGTTTTACGCCATCGTTTTTATGGCTGTCTTTCAGATGAAGCATTTGCAGAAATATTTTCGTATTTATTTTTTTTTATTTAAATCTGCCAGCTGCCATATTCATAAGCTTTTCAGATTGTTGATTGATTAACTCCGTTTTTCTCAACATTTTTAAGCAACGGCACACCTAGGAGCAAATGAAAATATCACGGCACAAATGAACATTTTTTTAAAGGTTATACATTTAAATATCTCTATTTATAAAAGGCAAGATGTCTGTGTGTGTGTGTGTGTAACGAATGCACGGCCACAATTTTCGACGGATTTGCACCAAAATTTACGTGCACATGCTCCAAGTTAGTGGAAAACCCAAGACCGACTTTGCATTTCCCAACTCCCATCGATAGTGGAAATAATCGATTTTTTCATGCTTTCTACGGCAGTTTTCATGTAGTTTGCGGCCATTTTCTACTGGCCAGAGTGAGAGCCTAGAGCTGGCTGCCACGAATAGGCAGGAAGATTCTACTGGCCAGCGTGAGAGCCAACAGCTGACTGACACGAATGTTAACTAGCATGCTGCATTCGTCACACGTGGGAAAAATTTAAATCTGCATGGCACTTTACTCCAATTGGATCCTTCGCTTGCTTAAACTCAACGTTGATTCTGATTCCACAGAACTGGGTTGGATGTGAAAAGTATTTGTTGTTAACATTCTTTTTTCATTCGGTTTTTCCAGTTACGAGTCCTTTTTTTTTTAAAGCTGATCGTTTTGTGTTCATTTTGTTTAGTTCTTTTTTCGTAACAGATTTAATGTTTAGTATAGAGCTTAGAAAAAAAATTCGCAGTGTGAGATAGGCAAGAAGTAAGGCATGTAGCAACATCAGCAGGGCAAAGGGCACTCCTTTAAATGCAAGGAAGGGCAAAAATATTTTAAGTCAAGTGATAGCGATTGCTGTATGAGTCATACGATTTTTGAATCAAGCCCGGGCAACGCCGGGCCATGCTGCTAGTTATGAAATAAAACCATAGATTTAAAAAAAATATAAACACACTAATATGAACTTAATTTATTTCAATGTTTCTATTTAACTATTGATGCAGCTTATTTAGTTCTGGTGTTTTTCACAATTTTTTCAACGTTCGGTTGAATGTGCGATACGCAGAGTCTCATTTCTTCATTAGTTAAGCGTAGTCCTTCTCGCTTCTTACTTTTGATGTTTGGGTTGAGAAGCCTAATTCACATAAATAAGAAGTAGAAAATTGCAATATAACTGATAAAGCCTTTTTAGCTAATGAGGGATAAAAAGCTGAATACTTATTCATCTATCCAAATACTAATGCTGTACCATTACTAATTCTGCACACACAAATATATGTATGCCATGACTCTATTTCGTGGCACACTTAAGAAGATCACGTGGTAGACTAGTGTGCTGCAGCACGGCGGTTCAGAATCACTGGATTGATTGATTTGTTTTTTTGTGGTTTATCAACTCTTTGCAACTTATTTAAAACCAGAAAATATTTTAAAATTGTACGAATCTTTTGGGGATAATAAGGATTTTACTGGTACAATCGCTACTAATTAACACATTTTTCCATTCATTCTCTCACTGAAATCAAGTAACATCTCCGATATGTCAGTTCTGTATTTTCACGCGGTCAAAACGGAATAGTCCATTATTCGGGAGATATTGGCAAGGAGTAACGGTCAAGCGAACTCACTAAGGAACTAACTCATTAATGAAGGGAAGGACAAGCAAAATTATAATGGAGTTTTTTTTAATCCTTTCAACAAAAGCACGGAAGGAATTCCACTTGTAGGCAAGGGTTTACAGGAAGTGAAAGTGAAATTGAAAGAGAAGACTGTGAATAGGAAGGATTTAGGAAAGGACAAAGGATGAATGAATCGGCATCTTCTGTCTTCTTGAAAGAAGATAGAAAATGCCGATTGATTTTGCATGAAATTTTTGAAGATCGTAATTATCACGGAAGCAAGTAAACGGAAAGAAAGTTCCACACTTAAGAAGTGCGAGGGAAAATAAACTGGTCGAGTAGAAGTCGCGGTAGCATTTAAACATGTCCTCAGAAATAGAGTGGAACATAGATGCCAATCTAGTAGCGTGCTTAAATTCATGTATTTGGGACACCAGGGAAAAAAATGATCGTCAGAGCAGTTACCAATGAAACAAAAGAGTAAGTGTAATACTATTTTCATCGCCCTTTCTCAGCTGGGTGTGCCGCCTTAGATTATATTTAGATATGGTGTAATGGTTAGCATGTTATGTCTATACTTTCGATCTTTTACCGCATCTGAGCGACGTTAAGCAAATCGCTATATTCAAGTGATTTCGAATTAAATATTAGTTTTATTGATCAGGTTATGGGTACCTGTCCCAGGGATTGAAGTCACAATTACGATGGTACCACAAATTCACGTTTTAATCCGTTGGCTATTGTCCCCGAGCCATTATTTCCAATCTGTTACGCTTTTCTTCCTTTTCCTTTCATTCTTGTCACTTCTGCCTTTCTTTCTTCTGTTTTTTCTTTCTTTTATTTTTTTCCAAATTTTACATTCAAACTTGTTTTTCTTTCGATTTTCATTCTATCCTTTCTTCATTTTCTTTTCATTAAAGTTATTTTTCCCCTTCTTTCATCTTTTCGTTCTTCTTCTTTTCCACATTTCCTTCTTTACCACGAATTCTTTTCGTTTTTTACCTTTTTTTTCCTAACACTTTTATTCTTTTCCTTCCTTTTCTTTTCTATATCTTTTCATTCCAATTTCTCTTTCTCTTCTCTTTATTGACCAGCCATTCTCTTTTTCCTTCAATTCTTAAAGTATATTGACGAATTTATCTTCCTTTGTTTCCTTCCGTTCGTCTGTTCCTTCTTTTCAGTATTTTTTTTTCTTTTTCTTTAGATCGTCTCGGTTTTGGCTGTCTTTCTTCCTCTTCACTCTTCAACTTCTCTTTCAACTATTTTCATTCTTGTCGCCTTTATTCTTCTGCCTTTCCACTTCACTTGTGTTTCTTTTCCTTTCATTCATGTTGCTTTTGCCCTCCTGTCTTTCCTCTTCTCTTTCATTCTTGTTGCTTTTACTCTCTTGCTTTTCCTCTTCTCTTCTATTTCTTTAACCCCACTACCTGTAACTATCTTTACTTTCATTCATTTTTAGACGCTTTTTGTCTTTCTCTTTCGTTGCTGCTTTGCCAACAATTCTATTTCTTTGTTTCCTTTTATTCTTGTCAGTTTTACATTTACTTCATTCAGCTTTTCTTCCAAATTTCCCTTTTCTTTCTATGTTTCCTTCTTTCTTTTCGTACTTTATATTCCCTTTTCTTTTTACATTTCTTTCTTTCTTTTCTTATTCAATTTTCCCTTTTCTTTTAGCATTTCCTTCTCTTTTTTCATATTTTATTTTTCTTTTTCTTTTTGCATTTCCTTCTTTCTTTTCGTACTTTATTTTCCTTTTTCTTTTTACATTTCCTTCTTTCTTTTCGTACTTTATTTTCCCTTTTATTTTTGCATTTCTTTCTTTCTTTTCTTATTCAATTTTCCATTTTCTTTTTGCATTTCCTTCTTTTGTTTCGTACTTTATTTTCCTTTTTACATTTCCTTTCTTTTCTTATTCTATTTTCCTTTTTCTTTTTTCATTTTCTTCTTTCTTTTCATAATTTATTTTCCTTTTTATTTTTGCATATCCTTCATTTTTTTCGTACTTTATCTTCGCTTTTCTTTTTGCATTTTCTTCCTTTTTTTCGTACTTTATTTTTCCCTTTTCTTTTTACATTTCTTTCTTTCTTTTCTTATTTTATTTTCCTTTTTCTTTTTGCATTTCCTTCCTTCTTTTCGTACTTCATTTTTCTCTTTTCTTTTTGCATTTCCTTATTTCTTTTCGCACTTTATTTTTCCCTTTTCTTTTTCCTTCATACTCTTTCGTTCCCCTATAATTTTTACTTATTTTTCCTTTAACTTTTTCTCTTTGCTTTCTCATCTCTTCCCTTCTTTTTCTTCCTTTCCTTTCTGTTATTCATTTTTCTCAAATTATCTCCCTTCCGGAATGGTTTTTTTTCTGTTCTCGTTTGTTATTTTGTTGTTTTTTTTTTTGGTGGGGGGGGTCTGTTCTCCTTTGTATTTTTTTTTGTTTTTTTGTTTTAACCCTTTCTTTTGTTCTTTCTTTTCATATCTCTCTATCTCCTTTCCCTTCTTGGAGTGCCGAATTCTAATTCCACTCTGTTTCGTTATATTCAATTACGCTCAAATACACTTGAAAATTGCAAGAATCCGCCTCTTTCCCACAGTTATTAGTAAATCAGAAGAACTTGTATCAGTAAATCTTCAAAAAAAAGTCTTAGGATCTGAAAATATTTTCTGACTTTAAACAACCCGCAAAAGGTTGATAGTTCATAAAAAAAAGCAATCCTTTCTTTTCTTCATGCTTTCTTTCTTTCTTTTTTGCTTTGACTACTTTCTTTTCTTTCTTTCTTTTCGTTTCTCTTCTTTTATTCTTTCGTTTTCGTTGTTTTCACCTCATTCTGAAACGCCATTATTTCTTTTCACCCTGAACCCTAGTGCCTTTCCCTTAAACCGCCTTAGTTTTTTTTCTCTTTTTCTATCCGATCAATCAACTTCCACTCTTTAGACTTCCCATCAGTCATCTTTCAGCTTTCTCTTCAATCACTAAAGCCGCCGGCGACAATAATTTAACAGCCTAGTCCATCAGATCCGACACACAACGCAGTCTAAAATGGCTCAAGCCACTTCTTCAAGCTTTCGATTGTGCTATTGTCAGTACGAGCAGTCGCTTTCTTTTAGTTTTCTCTTGTCTTTGTATACGTATGTATGTATGAATGTATGTCTGTATATATGTATGTATATATATATATATATCTGTTTGTCTGTCTGTCTGTCTGTCTCTCTCTCTCTCTCTATATATATATATATATATATATATGGGGGAGGTGAGGCAAGTATTATATAGAAACTTCCAAAACGGTCCACGACAGTAAGTGTACCTCACGCAGAATTCAAGCAAAATGTCCATCTTGTGTTATGGATATCTGGATATTGATCGGAATAGAATAAGCCTATTTTCAATCGCGGTAGCATTTGCCTCGGGTTCTCCTTCGTTTAAGTTCAGAGCCTTTATTCTCGGATAACTCAAGCATTTAGAATTTGACAGGTCATTAAAAGTTATACAACTTAACGAAACCAAACGCTCGTATAATTTAATATATCGCTATAAATAATTCATACAAGGTTTCCCTTTGAATTCTAGATGATAAATTATCGCATCTTCTGGACAAGAGACGCAAAAAGGCGCGAATGACAGCGCCTTACAAAATGAAGTCTACAATTATATCTGATTTATTTGGAGAAAGTCTAGCATCGTGTACCCGCCAGACATCGTCATCTTGAATGATTTGCTCACATGATACAAAGATTGTCGCGAATACAAAACAAGATGATGGAGGTGGTGTGTAAGTTTGGTTAACCATAATCTGTAATGTTACAAACATTTGGTTTCCAAAATCAAGTTTACGTTCAATCTCCGAAGCAAATATTTTAAGGTATTTTTATTAAGCTTGCTGAGATGAAATAAGACAAGAAATACTATAGCATCGAGTAAGGATCGAACTCAATGCAAAAAGGAACGTGCTGGGAGATTGACGTTGCCTTACGTTCTTTTTTTCCTCTTCTTTTTCATTCTCGACACTTTTACCGTCCTGTGGACTCTTCACCTTCTCTTTCATTTATTTTCATTCTTGTCGCATTTATCCTCCTGCCTTTCCACTTCACTTGTGTTTCTTTTCCTTTCACTCTTGTTGCTTTTGCCCTCCTATCTGTCCTTTTCTCTTTCATTTCTTTCCTTTCTTTTCATTCTTGTTGCTTTTACCCTCTTGTTTTTCCTCTTCTCTTGTATTTCTTTAACCCCCCTACCTGTAACGGCATTCACCCGGGGTGGATTGAGCCGGCTCCAATATTAGAGTTTCATGCGGTCCCCAACCGCATGTATAACACATGAGATTTGATTATAGTGCAGGACTATGCACACTTTTTGAAGGGCCGATTACACAAGGTCCCCAAACGACCCTTCGCAGGTTTTAAATTCAGAGTTGTACTTCTCCCAGACCAGTTGCCATCCAGGGCTATAGATCCCAGTCTGTCCTGCTATTTATACATAGCTGGAGAGAGAAGACGAGGATTCATACCTTTACTAAACAAAAAATCAGAGATAATCTCCAAATGTAGGCATGAGAACAAGTACCTATTATCCGAATTCATGCCAAACGGATAAAACAGACAAACCACCAACAATCGCAATTTAATTTCAAGATACCATCAAAATAATTGCATCTATCATTATTATAATTACACCACCATTAGTAATCACTTTTACTACAATACCTTTTAACTAACAATACTATCATTACCACCAACACACAGCACCATCACTTACACATCACACCCACTATTAACATATAAATCCACTACAATCTTTATTACTCCCCCAGCATATTTAATACCTTAAAACAATATGATCAGATATAATTTCCATATGTAACCATGAGAATAAACACCTATTACCAGGCAGCTTTAATATAATAACAATAATAATTTTGTAATTAAAATATTAAAAATTATAGCAATCTCCAACTACCATAATTTTCACAGAATACCTATTATCAGGATTTATACCAAAATAAATTAACACATATAACAAAATAAAACAAAAATAAAATAAAATACCAACAACCACTTTTTAGTTCAAGCTACCACCACTATAACTACATTCATGGTTTTATCATTCTCCCACCACCGTTACTAATCATTTCTACCAATTTACAATTTCTACCAATTTACAATAACTATTAGCTAACTATCATTGTCTCCAACCCCTTGAAACATTACTATCACATCATATCATATAGACCCGTTATTAAATTGAACTACCTCTCACCCAGCACATTGAATATTAAACTAAACATCACCATATAAATTATCCAATAAGGATTACAAATTTCTACCTGTTACATATACACAGTCACCAAAACAAAAAAATAACCAGCTTTAAATATAACATATAAACCCCATTTTTTTTTTTTCAAAAATTTAAAATAAATATAAATAATAATAATTTTTACCTATCATAATTTTACACAAACCCCACCACACGCATATACATACATGCGAGGGAATATTTTCATCGCGAAAACACTTAATATGACATGTATACAGTAACGAGACATTTCCGCCACACTTCGAATGTTTAAATTTCAACATTTCAACATACAAATGCGTATGTATAGATATAACACCACCCGTATACATACATGTGTCATAGCCGAAACTGCTCACATATGTTTATATATGTATGAGTCCTGACCGACGACCAAGTATGTATATGTGTCTGCATAAATCGATGTTTGCGTTCGTACGATGAATGACAAAACGACGAAATTTCCCCCACCACTTCCACAATAACACCAATACACGCAATCTATATAAACCCAATTTTTTTAAAACATTAATCAGTTTTTCTGACGATCGCTAAAGCGTGAAACCCAGGGTCACAAACTCACATCTATCCAACCAAATATGTTAGCTCTATCTGTGATATTGAGAGCTTTCTAATAAGTACCGCGCATATAATATATAAATAATTATACATACTTATATTTATTTATATTTACATACACTTTTTTCATATATATATATATATATATATATATATATATATATATATATATATATATATATATATATATATATATATCAGCGATAAAACTCCCAAAGAACATTTAAACTGATATAAAATGGTAGTATTTTGAAAAACGCTAATTGACGGAAAAGAGTTATTGCTTGTATTAAATTTAGTGTAGTAGATAATTAGTTTTATGTCTTACGGGGTCATTAGTACTTATCAGATTTCATGATATTTTAATCTTGTTGTAGTCAAAATGTATTTGATTGCGGTAAAGTAGGTTGATATGTTTAAGGGATATTTGCGGAAGTATTTTTGATTTATGTTAATATTTCTAATAGCTTGTCTAATTTGTTCATCAACAATGTAATGAGGAAAGTCATTATTAATGAGAGTTTGTTTAATGTTTTTTCATTCAGTGAGAAAATGTTTTTCGTTGAAGAAATTAGTTATTGCACGGTTTAGTAAATTTCGTATAATAGCTACTTTGCAATAATCAAGACATTCACTTTTATAGCCGTGAATGCTAGTTGTTGTTGTTTTTTTTATGGGGAGCTAGTAAATATATTATTATTATTATTATTATTATTATTATTATTTTCTTTGATTTCTGACGTTTACACATTTCTTTCCGGGTCCCGCCCAGGGTCCTAAGGTTAGAAATGGCGTCAAGACACTTTCCACTGACAAAAAAAAAAAAAAAAATTAAATTACATCGATAAAGCCCTTCGTAAGGTGTGGGCTGTACTTGTCAGAACATTTGTTGTATCTCCTTGAGGCATGGACTTCCAGAAATCCCTTCAATTAGTCTACTGCAATCTTTTCCAATCAGTCCTAGGGCTCCAACTACAATTGGGATTGTTGATATTATTATTATTATTATTATTATTATTATTATTTTTATTTCCTTTGATTTCTGGCTTGTACACATTTCTCTCCGGGTCCCATCAAGAGACCTAGGGTTAGAGATGGCATCATGGCACTTTCCACTGACAAAAAACAAAAAAATATTTTCATAGATAAAGCCCTTCGTGTGAGCTGTACTTGTGAGAACAATCTTTTGTATTTCTTTGAGGCATGGGCTTCCCGGAATCCCTTCAATTAGTCTACTGGAGTCTTTTCCAAACAATCTTAGGGTTCCAACTACAACAGGGATCGTTGATCTCCCATGTGCCACATTTTTGTTGTTGTCATTATTATTATTATTATTAGTGACTATCAACACATCAAGAAAAGGAATTTTATTGTTAAGTTCCTTTGTGAAGTTAAGGAAGAAGTTTTCTTGGGAGGTCTCTGCAGTTCCTATGTAGTGATTTTCCAAGCGTAGCTTAGATGTGGCACCAGGCCGAAAGTAAGGGGCACCCAGTGAGGATCGAACTCATTATTCAGTCGTAATTGTTCTAGCGAGACAAGCTTGCTAACCATTGCACCGCCTCGAGATGCCCATTTGCAGTTCCTTTGTATTTCATCTATGTTTTTAACTAAAATGATAATATCATCAACATATCTTCGGTAGATGGAGGTTCTTTTGTGGTATTAAATATCGTATTTTCAAGATTAACCATGTAGAAGTTACTAAATGTTGGTACAAGAGATGAACCCATGGAAACATCATCATGTTGTACGTATATATTATTTTGATAGTCATAGAAGAGAAACTCAGTGCTACAAGCCAAAAGTAGTTTTCGTAATGTATTAGGTTTAATTTTTTAATGGGGGTGGAGCTGGATTGTTATAAATCATCTTTATAATTATATCAATCCTTTCTCTAACTGGGGCATTGGTAAACTTTCAACGTTAACATGGTTTCGTTATGAGGTTTTTGTGCTTTTAAGATTTGGATTAGTTCATGAGTTGATTTAATGCTGTATTTACTAGATATGTATGGTGTAATGTACTGATTAATGATTTTGATTAAATGATAAACATGAGTGGGGATTTGGGATATGATAGGACGAAGAGAGAAGTTAGATTTATGTATTTCTATCCTTCCATGCATGTATCCTGGTTTGTAGTCACCAATTATTTTGGGAAGTTTTTAATTGTCTTGTTCTACACTGTTGTGTGATCAATTTGTTAATTATCAATTTCCGTTGGATAATAGTATTTCTGTTGACTTTTCAAATTACGCGCGGTCGTCGGGGATTTCTTGTATTATTTTAATAATAATCCTATTTATTTAAAACAACAAATATATAAAATTTAATTAGCATGCTTTTGTAAATTTGGGGTGGCGATTTTTAATTGTTTTATTGAAAGTTGAACGAGTTTGTTCTTTTGCCATGTCAGTCTTTTATCACTTCATACATACATACATACATACATCCATACATACATATATATATATATATATATATATATATATATATATATTATTTACATTATTCGGAATATTATCCTCATCTTTGACGCCATATTTATCACAACGTTTCAGCCGTTGTATGCTCCGGCCTTCTTCAGGTGGTTGGAATGTCGAACTGTTCTAGTTCCACGTGCCAGTCTACTCCAGTAAGCGAAATAAAGGGTTCAGTTCGACATTCCAACCACCTGAAGAAGGCCGGAGCATACAACAGCCGAAATGTTGTGATAAATATGGCGACAAAGATGAGGACAATAGTCCGAATAATGTACATAATACTCATCAGAAATATAAACATATATATATATATATATATATATATATATATATATATATATATATATATATATAGTCAAACCTGACGATCCGCTTAGGTGAAACCTTGGTAGGTTTGTCTGGCCCTCTAGGTTTGACTAGGTCTGGTCTACTTTTATATTGCGCACTTTTAAGTTAGTTGATTACTCGTATCGCGTTTTTTTTTTCTTTGGTCTTCGGACCTGTATGCTGTCGGATTATTTTCGAAAGACGTTCATGTTCATAGCTCTTTCTTTTTTTAAAAGCTTATTTTTCCTTCGAAATTGATTTGATCATTAGCAAATCAAGAAACTGAAGGTTTTCCGAGACGAATGTAGTTACCTATATATATATATATATATATATATGTGTATGTGTGTGTGTGTGTGTGTGTGTGTGTGTGTGTGTGTGTGTGTGTGTGTGAAAAGTGTATATGAATATAAATAAATATATATGTATAATTATTTATATATTATATGCATGGTACTTATTAGAAAGCGCTAGAGAGAGATCAATTAAAATATATATATATATATATATATATATATATATATATATATATATATATGTGCAATCCGGCGGTACTAGATTCCTACTACTCCCAGTTGTAGACACCTGCTCAGGCACATTTGTGGTTATTCAACACCCATTTTTATACTGCAAATTTTGTTTGTGTGTGTGTGTTTGTGTGTGTGTGTGTTTGTGTGTGTGTGTGTGTGCGTGAGAAGGTGAGTCAAAGAAAGAGGGAGATAGAGTATGCCGTAAGTAAAATTAAACAAATGCAAGTGTATTGTAATTTCCTGTATATGGCCTTCATACAGATAGACAGAGATAAGTGTACAATCACACGATTAAAAACAGGATTATATACAACACTAATTGATATTTCAACATAGCTTTCTTCGTTGTCAATGCACTTAATTCAGTGGAGAATATTAATCGTCTATAACAACTATTAAGCCGATCAACATTCATTTACCAGCTAGTGGTTAATCCGCTTTCTTTTTTTTTTTTTTTTAAGCATTTCACCCCAAGCAAGGCGGGAAGCCACTAGGACGCAAGGGGTTACAGAAAATAGGAAGATCAGATAGGAGTGATAGAAGATAGGATGAGGGTAGTAGATAGATTAGGGCAACTGGAGATGTCGATTAACATTACACTTGAATAGCTGGAGATTATAACTCACAGGGAAACAGGAGAAGGGAAGAGAGTTCCACAGGCGAGAGGTGCGAGACATGAAGCTATTAGAGTAGAAGAGACGGCTACATTTAGGAGTTTCGACAGTGAAGGGGTGAGAGCGGGATGCCAGCCTCGTAGGGCGCTTGAACTCATGAAGTCTGGGAACCAGCGAATGCAGCTCCTCGGAGCAATTTCCATGAAAGTATTTGTAGAACAGACAGAGGGAGGCGACGGTGCGTCTGTGAGAAAGTGACTGTAGACGAGACGCCAGGGCAGGGCCAACCATATTGCATATCCGCTTTAGTTAGCTACACGTGAAAAGAAAGATAGATAGATAGATAGATAGATAGATAGATAGATAGATAGATAGATAGATAGATAGACAAGGCTGAGACAGAAACATAGATAGATATATAGATAGATAGATAGATAGATAGATAAGACTGAGACATAGATAGATAGATAGATAGATAGATAGATAAGACTGAGTCTGAAACGTAGATATCCAGCTAACTTGGTAGCTAGCTAGATAGATAGATAGATCTGAATGATGATTGATCGTAAATATCTCTTAGTTCAATTTTCAAATATTCAATATCAGATTGAAGTATATTTTTAAATAGAATTTTCCAATATTCTAAATTTATTTATATTTTTTTTTATATCACTCTTTAATCTTTCCTTACGATAACCAATGATTAGCACTAACTTGCAATCAGAGATGAACTCCGAAAAAAGATTTCGCCAAAATTAGCACGGAGATTATTTAAAACATTAAATAAGAGATCGAAACACTGATTATAAGCTTCCAGGAATCGACGGATTCTCTTATCGTATCCGAAACTTTCGTAGACAACTTCAGTTCAAGAAAAGAAAGTCAGCGATAATCTTCAGATCTAGAAGTTAGTGCGAACTGCCTCAATTCACCAAAAGCCACTCCAGGTTCCTACTTGCAACTTTTTCTGACACATTAACTCTATAAATGGCGGAAAAACGAACATACATAAAAGACGGCTAAAAAAAAAAAAAAAAAAAGAAAACTCACATTTTTAAATGGAAGTTTTTAGGAATTTTTTTTGGCGTTTATAATATGCAAAACTTATAAAAAATAATATTTTAACATTTTTACGTTATATCAGGTCATCCCATATATTCTGTCGGAATTTTAACTTTTTGTTAAAATGAACGAAATTTAAAGAGTATTTTATAATGTCTAATGGAACTGAACATTATTTTTATGTTTAGATGCATTTAAACTGATCAAATTTTATTTCGGAGAACAATAAAATTAAATTTTGTTTGATTAAAACCCTGCCAACATGGAAGTACCCAAGAATCATTTGAGGCACATAATGCTTTATGAGTTCAAGAAAGGAAATTTAGCAGCCGGAGCGGCTAGAAACATTCACTCAGTTTATGGAGAGGAATGTGTGAATGAAAGAACTTGCAGAAGATGGTTTGCAAAATTCAGAGGTGGAGATTTCACCCTTGAAGATGAAGATCGAACCGGACATCCAGTTGAGTTTGATGAAAAGCTTCTTGAAGCAGCCTTTGAAGAAAATCCTGCTTTATCAGTTGAGGAATTGGCAGTGGTTCTCAGTTCAAACCATACAACTGTTCATCGTCATCTTCAACAACTTGGAAATTTCCTAACCTTGGAAAATGGGTGACTCATGAATTGTCCGAAAACAACCTCAAATCCCGAGTTGACATCTGCTCTTCTCTCTATTCTCACCAACTTGTTTCACTTTTTTTGGATAGACTTGTGACGAAAAATGGATCTTTTATCGAAATGTTAAGCGTCGTAGACAGTGGCTTGGTAAAGGGGAAGGACCCCAGCCACAGCCGAGAAGGGAACTTCATGGACAAAAGTTTCTTCTTTCAATCTGGTGGGATCGCCAAGGAATAATCCACTTTGAATTCTTACCACCTAAGGCAACAATTAATGCTCAAATATACTGTCAGCAATTAGAGCGTTTGAACCAAGCTTTGAGGAAAAAAAGAGCTGCTCTAGTGAATCGAAAAGAGGTGATGCTTCATCAGGACAATGCGCGATCCCATACAGCAAGAATCACGTCACAAAAGATCGAAGAACTTGGTTGGGAGAAAATTCCTCATCCACCTTATTCTTCCGGTCTTGCTCCTTCAGGCTAGCATTTGTTTCGTAGCTTACAGAATCATTTGGAAGAAACAGCTTTTGTAACACAGGAAGAGGTTAAAACTGACATTTGTAAGTTCTTCGAATCAAAGCCAAAAGAATTTTACAATAATGGAATTAGTAAGCTTGTTAATAGATGGAAGGAAGTCATAGATAATCAGGGAAAATACATTGTTGATTGAATCTGTAATTAAATGTAACATTTGGTCACTTGTTTTTATTCAAAATTTGGACAGAACTTATGGGATGGCCTGATAAAAATAAAGGGGGAAAAAAAGAAAAGTACCTGTTTTAAATTGAATTATTTTCTTTTTTTATCTAAAACTAAACTTCTCTCTATTAATCATCTGAGAGACCCTTCTCTCTGCTTTCCACCGGCATGCCTGATATTAACCTCCAGGAAACTGACTAGTTGCGCCTTCTCTGGCTAACGTTCTTAGATGACCTGAAATAAATTAACTATATTGAATCGATTGATATTTAAGCTGCTAAGAAAGATGGTTCATTCTGTCGTGCGGGACATATATTTTTCTTCAGAATCTATCTTGCACATCTATATGTCTACCATTCGGCCGTGCTTAGAATATCGTTGCCACATATGTTCCGGGGCCCCTGCTATTTACCTTGAGCTCCTTGATAAAACCCAAAGAAGAATCTGCAATATTATTAAAAAATGTATGAATCCACCTTTTCTCCCCCTAGTTATGGGTTAATTAGTAAGATTTGCATCACTAAACCATTAGTATATTTAAAAAAATATTCTTACACTGTAAAACACTTTCTAGCAAATGGTTGATAAGCCGTGGAAAACGAATCAATCAGTCAATAATAGCAGTAAAATTCATAATTACTACCCGAATATCATAATAATTTCGATAGTATGCAAAGCCTGTGATCACTTCTCGATTTTTATCTTGTTTTTTTTTTTTTTTTAACAATTATAAAATATATTTTCTTGTTTTCCCTCATTTTTGAGATTTTCTGGAATCCGTTTAGAACTCCTTCAAATTTGGAAAATTATAATTATCGTCAGTTTGTAATTCCAGAGTTTATCAATAAGCCTACCATTCGTCCGTGCTTAGAATATTGCCACATATGTAACATTTGGTTACTGCTATTTACTTTGAGCTCCTTGATGAGATCCAAAGAAGAATCAGCAATATTATATATCCTGATCTGGCAGCTCAGCTCCAGTCACTTTCCCACCGCCGTAAGGTTGCCTCACTATGTATTTTTTTATATAAATACATTCATGGTAATTGTTCGAATGAACTCTTCGCTATGGTACCTAGAGTTTGTTTGTTTTTTAATTTAAGCCCAGCACTAAACTCGCGTCGAGATCTCATTAATTTACAGTTAAGCTGGCTAGATGTAACCGTAAATTGCATGCAAAAGGTTTATTCTCTCGTACTTCTCCATTGTAGAACTACCTATCTGCTCCTTGCATTCGGTCATTCAGCAAAAATTTAAATGCAATATCAGCCTCTCTGTGTCTTTTCAATAAATACTTCGCTATGATATATATTACATTATACTGTTTAGTTTGTCGTGTCCACTAAAATATCAACTACAATATTTATAAACCAATCACACTCAAGAAAACACTTACATTTTAAAACACACCAATAAAATCATAGATTACAAATTAGAATGTTTGTTGTATTAGTCATCATTATTTTTAGGTAGATACCGACCAAATATCGTACGAACGTAGTAGAAGACATACCACGTGACTTCTTAGGGCCAATTAGAAATAAATAAATAATTTAATTCTGGAGCCGATATTGTTCGGAAAAAGTGTATAAAAACATACAAAATCCGTTTCCAAAACAATATACACGTGACTGCCACCAAACTACACACACCTCTCACTGATGACCTTCATGACCTCATGTTAAAAACGACAGCATTGACAAACTCCAGACCACGGCAACACCGCCAACAGTAAGAAACAATTCGTATCTCTCGTATCCGTTTTTACTCTGAATCACGCACACACATGTTGACTTTTCATACAAACACACATATCACAACATTTTATTGTTTCTCACACACGTACACAAAGACAGTTTATATTTTATTTCAGAACTTTATCAACCCAAACAAAAGACGTTACTTTCCAATCTATTATCAACTATTATCAATTATTCCTATCGTTATATTAAATTAATGTTTATTTGTTGAAATTACGTTATCTTTTCTACTGAATTTTATTCCTTCAATGAAAAGCGTTTGATTATTCTAGACGGCCAAATTACGAGCGATCCTGTAACGATATTTTGTTAATGTATTGAATCCCGACACTCCAAATTTTAACATTCAACAAAAAACCGAGTAGAAGGATTCCTACAAGTTTCTCGTAAATAATTTTGTTCATTTATGTAAATATTTATTGGAGCTTAGATTATTAAATTGTTATTTTATCCCCCTCCCTCCAGATAATGAATTGTAGATATGGGAACAAGTTAGGACGTTCATAGAGACAGGCATTATGGTAGATGTATTAAGAAAGGTAAGTAAGAATGTCTTGTTTTGGTATTAGGAATATTGTGGTATGTTTGGGTCAGTGTTTGTGGCTAGCTGAGTTTAATGTTACAACAGAATAAAACCGTGCTTTTCCCAATTCCCCATTTTTTGGGCCTTGTGCCACATTTCTGTAAATAAGCGGAAATAAATATCCCTCTTCACTAGGGTAACCATTGCTAGGTCAGCTGCTAAGAAAGTCGGTTATGCATCTTCCGACAGGATTCGAACCTGCGAGGAAACTCAGCCACGTAGTACCTGATGATCAAACAAAGCCCGAATAGTGCTTTTGAATACACAATGGCAGTTTCCCCTATTTTTCTAACATGATTTCTCGAATATTAAGACCGGTAGATGTAGATAAATAAATATACGGTTTAATAAATAAAATAAAATAAAACAGAGCATCTACTCAAATATGTTTATCCATTTCAAATATATCATTTAAACAAATATGTTGAGGGGTCCTCCCCTTTTTATACAAATAGACTCACCCAGTATATACATATACTACTGCTACGTGAAGATCAGAGAGAGAGAGGGAAACAGGAGGAGGAGTGAAAGGTTGTTGGTAACCGGAAGAGTGAGAGTAAGGTAACAGACAGGCAGAACAAACGTAGCGAGCAATAGTCACAGTGAGCGAGCACGTAGACTCAGTAAGAAGTCATACAGCGTACTTCAATACCAAAGACTGTATAGATATTTTGCTACTAACCCGTATTCCTGGAGCTACTAACCTGCATTACCAGTTTGTATTATTACGTTAATACATTATTTTCCTATATTCATTCTTGGCGTTTGTTATTTATTGGTACCGGATTTCATCTCGGAATCCACAATAAAATAAATTAAAAAATTATAT